AAAAAAAAAAAAAAAAAAAAAAAAAAGGATTAAAAAGGGAAAAATATTTTTTTATAAAGGAAAAAAAAATTAAAAAGGGAAAAGGTTTTTAAAAAGGAAAAAAATATGAAAAAAAGGAAAAAAGATAAAAAAAGGAACGAGATTAGAATAGGAAGAGTATGGAAAGGAAAAAGATTTCAAAAAGAAAAAGGTTCTAAAAGGAAAAGGATTTAAAAAGGAAAAGCGTTTTAAAATGCAAAAATATTTTTAAAAGGAGAAAGATAAAAAAGGAAAAATATGTCAAAAGGGGGGAAATTTGCAAAAAGGAAGAAGGTAAAAAAAGTAAAGGGAAGAAAAGAGAAAAAAGGAAACGAAAAAGAAAAATAAAGGGAAAAAGTAAAGGAGAAACGAAAAAGCGTGAGAGAAGAGACAAAAGGAATTAAATGGGACAAGGGAGGAAAAGAGAATAAAGGAAAAGGGAGAAAGGGAAGAAAAGGGGAAAGGGGAAAAGGAAAGAAAGAGGGAAGAAGGAGGAAAAAAAAGAGGGGGAATAGGGAAGAAGAGGGGGAAAGGAAAGAAGGGGGAAAGGAGAAAATTAAGGGGGGGAAGGAGGAAAGGGGCACAGAAAATAATCATGTCGTTACAGCCTCAAACAACATTATTTCAAAATCCTTTCAGGTACTGACACGTACCTCACGTGAAGGCACCTTATTTCATTCCCCAGGTTAGACTGTTACAGTCCCAGCTCCCTTCAGACCGTAGTTATTGCTGGCATTTGAGCCTCTGTCACGTTAACAACAGCAGAATAAATTTTAAAAGCAGAATTTCTACAGCTTGCACAGGTTCCCTGTTTTCCTTCTCGCTTTGAGAACAGCTGGATGCCTCACTGCCCTCCCTCCAGCCCTGCACCAGCCGCGTTTTCCAGACTGGATTTGTTAAACCTGTTCGAGAGCGATGCAAAAGCCGCTGGCACCGGCGATGGCACCAGCTCAGCATCAGCCCGAGGAAATCCTTCTCGGTTATTTCACAAGCGCCCGGGCACCTTTAGGAAACATGTTTTATATATAAATGTTTGTTTAAACAACACGTGCCTGTATTTATATGCACACATCCTACATGTGTGCCTACACACACACTCGCAAGCTAACAAACAGCTTTCTCCTCCCTAAGAGCAGCAACACACAGAGCTCAATTTCAACAGCCGATAACACAGTGTCTCCCTTCGAATTTCCAGAGAAAACTACTTTTTTTTTTTTCCTCCAAGAAGAGACCGATTTTCCTTCCAATCTCGCTGCAGATGCACAGCACCAACCCCATGCACTGTGCATGCAATGATGTCTCTGTGCCCACACAGAAGAGCAGAGCTCGCACCCACTTGGCTGCTTTCCCCTGTGCACAATAACAATAATAATAATAATAATAATAATAATAATAATAATAATAATAATAAAGGGGGAGCTGCCAGGGGAACTAGGAGGTGTCCCAGTCAGCCCACTGGTTTCCAGAGAGAAAACATCTCAAACTCAAGCCCTGCGACCTGCTTTGTGCTTTGCAAGGGACGCGGCTGCCTCCCTGCCTCGCATTTATTGCACTCGTTTCCACTAAATTGTTTGGTAGAATAGGGATAAAGTTAATGGATATAATTGATACAACAGGAATAACGCCCTCCCTTGCTGTTTTTGCCCACCAGCAACCCCGGGCTGGCTCCGTGCTCAGGGTGGTTTGATCGATGCTCCGGGGGAGGGGAACACAGCCCTCCTCTCCACCCCGGGACCACCCCAGGGATGCAGCAGCCTCAATCCAAACCGCTTCCCGGGGGATGGGAGGGTGAGTCTGGGAGTCGCCCCCCTCTCCAGGGTGATGTGCCTCCCGTCGGTGGCTGCCAGGACGGGGATTTGGCCGTATCCCAGTAAAACCCGTGGGCAGATCCGCAATCCCCCGCCTCCCCACGCAGCCTCCCACGCACGGGGGCCCGAGCGATGGCCTGGCAGGGACCCCAAGGCCCCGCCGCCACCGTGATTTATTAGCGGCGGGTCCATCCTCCAGCCCTGTTTCTCCTCCACGGGAAAAAAAAAAAAATTAAAAAATAACGATGGAAACGAAACAAACTCGCCGGTGGCCTCAGTAATCCCTCAGACCGCAAAAACCCCTCTAAAACCGACCGTGGGGGGGGGGGGATGCGGAGGCAGCGGCGGGGGGGATGCGCTCCTTGGCGCACCCCCAGCCCAGCCCCGCCGGGCACCGCCGTGCCAAAGCACCCCCTGGTTTGGGGTTCTGTTTAGCTCTTTTACGGGGAAGGGATGGTCGCTCGCGGATGCTGCAGAAAGGGTTCCCGGGAATGCGGGTGGAAAACCGGAGCACAAAGGCGGCCCCAGTTACCCCCCACCCCGGTACCGGAGCCTGCACCGAACCCAAGTAAAGCAACAGATCGGGGATTCCTTAAAAAGTCTTTCTGCGGGGAGGAAACCTCATTCCTTCACATGCAAAAACCCTCCAATTCATTTCTCTGCTGCGGGCAAACGACTTTCCCAGCGGCGATTAATCACTCCCCCCGCCTCCAGCCCCTTGGCCAGAGCCTGCCGGCACCCGGGCACCGTTCCCACAGGCTTTGGCACAAGTTTCGACTTCGGTGAGATTTGCAAAACAATATTCATAAATAATATTCGGAATTTTATTTTTAACAATC